CTGCACATGTACATGAGGCGTGATGACTGAGGGAGGCTGCGGGGAGCTCGGAGGTCAACTTGGGTTGCCAGCAGCTCCAGGCTCTGAGTGGGGAGGAGAACCCTGGGAGTTGTATAAGGGTCTTTGCTGTGTGGAGGGCCGGAGGATGGGGATGGGGGGTGGGCGGATGAATGTGGCTCTGTGACTTTATTGCTGTTTTGCATTTTATAGGCATTCACTTTTTTGCAGATTGTTACTCACCATCTCTTTTCCTCACCACACTGCAGGCCTGTGAGGTAGGTGGTGGGGGAGGAAGGGAGGAGGGGAGGAGGGGGAGGTAGGGAAGACACAGGGGCAGGGGCCTGCTCCTTGAGGGTGGGGGTAGGGCCTGGAGGAGCTGGAAGCCGAGGGTTTGGCAGGAGAGGGGGTGACATATGTGGGGAGCCCTGGGGACCCAACCAGGCAAGCGACTGGCAGGGAGAGCAGACGGCATTAACCCTCGCTGCGCCACACTGCCCGACCCTTCCCCAGGAGTGGCTGGGGGCAGGGCTGTTATCAGCTGTGCTCTGGGCCACAGGAGCCTCTGGGCAGGAGCCTCGGTGTGCCTGGGATCTTCTTCCTTGCTTCCTTCCCCGCCTGGGCTGCTTCCACGTGCTCTCCCTGTCTCCCTGTCTGCACCTCTCTGTGCCCCCAGGTGACAGCGGGTCTCCGCCACCCTGGCGAACAGCACAACCTGTCCCTTCCTCTGCCGCCAGCCCGCTGGAAGCCCGAGCCCTCTCTCACCCCGGCCCCCAGGCCTCGCCGCCTTTGTGTCCTCGGGCAGCCTCCCCTTTCTTCTCTCCGCTCACCTCTCCCCAGCTCCGGGCCCACGCTCAATCTCATTAGGGCTTCCTCGACCACTGCCCCCCCCCCCCGCAGCCTCTCCTGCTCCCTCCCCATCCATCTGTCTCCCCCAAGCGCTCCTCTTTTGTGTCCACCCATCTGTCACCGCCAGCCCAGGGCCCACTCCCCCTGGCCACGCCCGCCCGGCCTCTCTCCCCTCAGGCTCAGCTCCCTCTCAGGCTCGCGGGCTCCTTCCCTCCTTCAGCCCAAGGAGGATTGCCTACTGCCACTTGCCCTTCCCTCCTTTTTTCTTTTCCCAGATATCCTTTCAGCTCTGTTATTCCTTCTTTCCCTCCAGTTTCTCTAGCTCCTCCTCAGTTGATGGGGGGAGGAGGGGACTCTGGGGTCCCGGCCCCCAGCCCCTGAGCAGCCAGCCAGCCAGAGCCAGCGTGGGTAACATTTACTCACAGTTGCATCATCTCCTCAGGCCTCCTGAGATGCCCCCTCCACTCCTGCCTCCACGTCCTCTCCGGATGGGGACAGGGGCTCCAGCTGCCCCTCTTCACCACAGCTATTGCAAGCCCCTCTACCTTCTGAGTGTGGGGCTCCGGAAGAAATCAAATCCCACCTGACCCTGACCTTCCAAGACTCTCTGCTTCCCAAAGGTCACTTCAGCAACCCCCACCAAGCTTGTTTTGAGTTGGGGAGGCCGAGTTTCAGGATGGCATATTTACCACGCTACGCCACTACCCACAGTCATCTGTCCCCGCGTTAGAGGGCGATCAGCCCCCCACGCCCACCCCGCCCCCGCCGAGGCCTCCCTCACCCATGGGAGAACTTTCTAACCACCTTAGAAAGCTCGTGAATCAACCAACCCTTCAAGCCATGCCCTGCCCTGTGGGGTTTATGATGAAAGGGAAAAAGGGAGAGAGGCGGACAGAGCAGGGCTGGGCCTCAGACGACAGCCTGGTCTGACTCCACAGATGAAAACACGGGGCCCAGAGAGGGGAGTGCCCTTTCCAAAGTCACACAGAGCAATGGAGCTACTCCAGAAAATCTGGTCCTGAGCCCTTCCCACAACTTCAAACTCCTCCCTACAAGCCTGCCCAGAGCAAACCTCCCACCCTCTGAACTCAGGTAGAGCCTGTTTATAGCACTGATTTTGCAGGGAGCAAATGCTGCCTGGCCTGGTGATTTATCCCATGTGCCATCGAGACTCTGGATCCCAGGTCTCTACGGGAAGGTGCCGTATCTCACACCCTTTTATGATGCTGGGACAGAGTGCCTTGCCCATTGTCAGGCTCAATAAATGTTTATTACCACTGTAGCTGCCAGTGCAGATATAAGAAATGTCTCACACAGCTCCAATATGCTGTGGAGCCTTCAGCAAGCCACGTCACTCCACTGACCTACCATTTCCCCATCTATCAAATGAGTTAGACCATAAACACAGTTCCTAAGGTCTTATTATATATGGTCCCCGGAAGAGACAAAGTCCTTTTGAACAAGGTGGGATGTGGGTGCAGAACACCAGACTCTGGATGGGAACACCTCCTCCCAGGATGCGCCCCTGGGAGCAGCGACCCAGACGGGGGAAGCAGAAGAGTGAACCCTCGACTCGGAGAAGCCGGGAAGAGACCAGGGAACAGCAAAGCCTTCCGTCTTGTCTCCAGGGGCCAGGTGTCACAGAGGGGAGACAGGACAGACTGGGTCCCGGAGCAGGGTGGGCAGTTATTCAACTGTGCACGTGCGCTGGTGGGGAGAGAAGGCGCAGTGGGAACTAGCAGCGCGTAGGAGGAGGGAGGGAGGGAAGCCCTGGGAGCACGGTGCAGGCAGGGGATGACAGATTTGAGAAGGTGCAGGGCTGAGCAAGGCCTTGGACTGAGAGAGAAGAGGGAGGCTAAGGAGTTAAGTCTGTGGCCTTACGATGCTGCTGGTCAGTCCTGTGTGGTTTCTGGGACACAGGGAGAGCCAGGGGAGGAGTCAGACTGTGGTCTCAGACAGGGGACCCCAGTGAGGGTCAAAGCCCCTTCCATGGAGCCTGGCCTCCCCACAAACCATATTTTTTGGTTTTGTAAGATTTGGGGTGTGGAGGGAGGGTGGGGTAGGCATACTGTGGAAGGTGAAAGACAAGCTTTGCTGATTTCCTCCCTAGGTGGCAGGGACTAAAGGATGGAGAACGGAAAGCTGACATCCTGTATCCTCTCCTGCCCACCCCGCCCCTTGATTCTTCCCAATCCTCTGCTTCCCTGTTCAGCTCCCTCACTGGTTCTCAGCCACTTCCCCACTTCCCGAAACTGCCAGCAGGATGAGAGAGCTTAGTGCTTTGTCCGCTGGGAGACCTGTTGGCCGAGGGAGGCATGGAGTGGGCCCAGGCAATGGTGGCAGCTGTGCTCAGCTCCCGCCAGCACGGAGCAGCTTCTCCAGCTCAAACCGGGAGGGGTGTGGTGGAGGGAAAGCGGCGGGGTTTATTTCCCCCACATCCCCAAATCCCAAACAGCCCCCTGAGGGAACTTGGAGAGAAACCTCGGGAAAAATCACCTCCTCTCAGCAGGATTTGCAAAGGTAAACAGTTCTATCAGGAAACTAAGAGGAGTGCTTAGGACTCTGAAACGGCCAGCACTTCTCCATCTCTGCTGTCTCCATGCACGCTGGAGACAGGCTCGTGGCCAGCAGAGGGGAGAAGGCTGGCTTCAGGCGCCACTCCTGCAGGCTCGCTCCCACTCTCAGCTGATTCAGCCCCTTCCCAGCAACATCCAACAGCTCTGCCACACTCCAGAATTCTGCCTGTGAGGACCCAGGGAATTCGAGTACCTCCCTAGCGCAGAGATTCTTTTTAGAAGAGTGTAAAACTACTCGTTTTGGTCTACAGCATGCCCACTGACAGAGCCCAGACTGCTTAGCATGCCACCCAAGGTCTCTGTGACCCGCCCCAGCCTCACTGCCTGCAGTTTTCCATGGCTCAGGGGCACTGAACCACCCACGGTTCTCAAACGTGCCCCGCGCCTTTTCCACACCTGCTGAGCTCTAACTCGCTGCCCAAGTGCCTCCGCCTCTTCGCAGCTTTCTAAATGCCACCACCACTGCCTTGAACCCCTCCGTGTGCTGCCAGAGCACGGTGGAGAGGCTGTGATTTCTCCATTTAGTACACCTAGTTGTGAGTGTCTGTTTCTCCCTTCCCCCCAGATGTGAGTTACTCAAGGGTCAGGGCTGCGTGCTGTACGACCTTCATCTCTGTACCCCAGCTTGGGTCTCAGATAGGGAAAGCAATGTCTGTTGAACACAGAGTTGCAAGAAACTGTTTACATCACTCTCACGAGAGGAAAACCAGGGGCCAGAAGGACCTCTTCTGCTGGAGTGTCTGTTTTTGACAGTTACACTCCTGGGGCCCTCTGGGAACTGAGAAGAGAGCACGGGAGGTTGCAATTCTACATCTCTAATCTAGGGTCACTGAACAAGGGGCTGGGCAAAAAAATAGGTAATGGTACGGGTTGTGTGGGGCAGTCTGTTTTAATGAAACTTGCTATTTATATATTTACATACACACACATACACACACACACACACACAAAGGAAAAAAAAGAAAACAAAAACAGATATTACAGCATAATAAAAATTACAACTGAGTACTGTGGGCTGGAGGTGGGATACCCACCCGCAGCACACCCAGCCTGATGCGCCATCTAAGGGCCTGGAGACGGGACAGCTGGAGGGAGACAGAAGGCTCAGCCCGCAGATGGCCCTGTCCTCCTGAGGGCTTCCTTGTCATTTGTTCCTGGCATTCAACCCTTCACGTCCTTCCTGGTCAGGAAGGGAGAGGGGGGAGCAGGGAGCATGGGTAGGAACAAGGCAGGATGGGGAGAGAAAGGAGACGCTGAAGAAGGGAAAGTTAGGGCAGGAAGCTCTAAACCACCATGGGGCAGGAGTCAGACAGGAGCGGGAAGCTTCTATTTGTCATCCCAGGATCAGGCAGGGGCAAGGAAGAAGGAACAGCCAACAGCAGACAGGAAAGGGGAGATGCGGGCGGTGGGTGACTCGATTATCTCTCACTGTCTCTTTTGGGCAGTTCCGCTTTATGTCAAAGTCAAGTCTGAGCCAGGCCCAGAGAGGTTCCATGACAAACTAGTGGTTGATGTCCCAGCGGGACAGATGGTCTAGGAAGCAAACTGCAGAGCTGGTAGGAAAAGCTGGGGTCCTCTTCAGTAAGACACAGATCCTGGCTCCCGGGGAGTGATGAAAAGGACATCGGCTTTGGCATTGATGCAGTAGGTGACGATGAGAGAAAAGACGAGGATGCCGAAGCCCACTATCAGGGTGATAAACTGCAGGAGGGGGTGGGAGGGAAGGAGAAAGGTGTTCTCAGAACTCTGGGCAGTTGTGCTAGCTTCTCGGGGTGCAGAGGCAGGGCACTAGAATCCTGGAGGTGGCTCTAAGCACCAAGTCCTAAACTATCGCAGGCAACATCTCCCAATCTGGGGGCTCAGCCTCCCCATTTGGAAAGAGGAGTAAAATACCTCTGTCCTTGCTTTTGCATTTTTGACTTAGATCTGAAGCATCCTGAAGGCAGGGCCATGGCTTTGATTCTCTGGTGGCCAACAACATGACTTGTGATAGGTGCTCAATAAGCGTTAGAGCAATGTTCTAGCTCTGGTAGGTGGGCATGTTGGGCAGGAGTGGAGCTAGGGAAGGGCTCCATACTGTCTCCTTGGGTCTCCATGCGTGCCCACGGCCAGGACGAACACATACGCAAACTGTCCGTGAGGACAAGCTTCCTAATGGCGCATGCTGGCTGGCCAGGGACAGGTGTGCAGCAGGGTCTGGGGGCAAATGAGAGCTAGCGGGGGTAAGAGACAAGAGGCAACAGAAAGACGTCCAAGAGACCTCTGTCACCCCAGCCTCCCCATCTCACCTCCAGCTCTTTGCTGGCTATCAGAAATATCCGGGCGCGGATGTCTTTCCAGCGGCTCTCGGTCCATGTCGAGTACTCGGTGGAGCCCCACTGCTTCAGCTCAAAGGCAGGGGACAAGGCCCTGGCCAGGCGTGCCGTGGAGCGCACGCACCGGGGGAGCCGGTCTGTCTCATTGGCGTCCAAAGGGCCCTGAACCCAGGCATATTCGTACAGCTGCACAGAACACAGGTCCCAGCAAGCGGCTGAAGCAGACCTCGCTCACCCTCCCCGCTTACCGTCTGGCTAGTCCGTGCTGACCCAGGATGCTGCCTCTTCAATGCTCGAGCTCCAAGGGCTGCACCCCTCCACCGCTCCACCCCAATCCCTTGGGTCCAACCAAGCCTAGGAGATCCACCAACCTTCCCAAGGGAAGGCAGGGGGAGGGGGCCCTGGGGTCACTCTGATGTCCACTACCACTCACATCCTTGTCTTCAGTGGGGACTTGACTTGGGTCCTGGCACTGCTCCCGGGTGAGGTCGATCACCTTGCCGGTCAAGTTGGCCAAGGCGTACTGTACAACGTAAGTGGTGTTGGTGGGGCTGGAGACGGCAATGTAATGCTGAAGAGGCCCATCACCTGGGCGGAGACCACACGGAAAGGGGGGATTCAGTGGGTGGAAGGTGGGGGCACAGACGGGCAGGGCCAGAGAGAGCCCAAGACGGGCAGCAGCCAGAGGAGAGAGCCCAACAAGGCTCAGGGGAGGAGAGGCAAACGGGGCCACGAAGACAGGAGGGCAGGTCCAGTCAGAGTGATGACCGCTCTGAATCCTCCCTTGGTGAGGGCCCCGCCCCACACCGGGCACTCACCCAAGTAGGGCCGTAGGTCCGGCCTGAGAACAGACTGGAACCACGAGTTGTTGGCTCTAACCAGGAACCCATAGAGCAGGCGGGTAACCTAGGATGGGGACATGGAGGAGACTTGGAGCCCAAGTTTTATTAGTGGAGATTTCAGTCATGGGGTAGGAACCAGACTGGCCAGACACCAGGGTAGGGAAAATGGTGGCTGGTCACGAGACACAGATGAGGCCCGCTGGGGGAACACCCAGAGCATCAGTGGTCCTCACCCGCACATCCAGGCCTGCTAAATGCCAAGGTGTGGGAGACTAGGCGGGGACCAGGATAAAGGATGGGGTAGCCCACTGTGTCCCAGTGAAGTCGCTCAGTCACGTCCAGCTCTTTGCAACCCCACGGACTGTGGCCCACCAGGCTCCTCCATCCATCGAATTTTCCAGGCAAGAGTACTGGAGTGGGGCGCCATTGCCTTCTCCAGGGGATCTTCCCTGCCCAGGATGGAACCCAGATGTCCTGCATCGCAGGCAGACGCTTTACCGTCGGAGCCCCCAGGGAAGCTCACTTGCTTCTGTGTAAACAGAAGCCTTTCTGTGTAAGCAAACAGAAAGGAATGGGGGCCCACATGCTCCTACCGTGTGGGGATCAGCCTCTATGGTGTCACTGAAGCTGGTTCCTCCTGCGAGCTGGTACAGTGCGCGTGCCAGCACCGTGGCCACATCTGCCAGAGCCTGTGGTAGGAGGAGAGGGGGCTGAGCGGCCCAGACCCTGACCGCCAACACTGACACATACGCCACGCGTGCTGTGTCCCCCACGCTCCCACCCAGCCCGCGCTACCTTGGCTGTGTCTGTCACAAAGTTCAGGTCCTCCTCAGGACTCTGCCCTTCAGGGTAGGTCACGTTAATGTTCTCCGCAGTGTCGTAAACGCTTTGGTAATAGCTGCCAGGAAAGCCGGAATGAGCCTTGGCTGCACTCAGCCATGGCCCTGCCCTTTCCTCCCTCCACTGTCCCTTCTGTAGGAACTCTCGGTCTCAGTTCTCCTCATCCAAGGATGAGGGAAGAGAGAAAATCAGTATTCCAGACATACTGAAGAAGGAACAGAGAATGGCGAAGTAGGCGTGCAGAGGGGAGTGCTTAAATACAAAGACTCGTGTGACCGACAGGACAGAAGAGGTAAATGAGGTCAAAATGCGGAACCTGCGCCTTCCTGGGAGAGCCTAAAACGTAAGCAACACTTCTGTGTCGTCTGGGTCAGAGACACAGGAGGGTGGCCAAGAGAACCCTACCACGCGTTATCAGAGCAATCGTAAGATCATTTCAACGTCCATTCATATTGAAGGTGGCTGGGAACAGGGTGACGAGCAGGCCTGCCCACAGATATGAACATGGCTCAGGGTCAAACCCCCCTCAGTACTCCTTGGAGCCCCAAGGAGACAGAGCTCAGAAGAGAAGCTAGGAGGAGAGAGCTCCCAGCCTCTACCATCACTGAATAGCCTGCCCCACAAGGAATCAAGTCAATCACATGGTCAAGTCCACCGTGAATGATGAAGCACCTCTCACCACAAAGTAGTACAGAAGACAGGTTTGGATGAGAGAGCTGATCTTACGCACTGGAACGGTCACCACCCTCAATAAATGAGAAGGTGCTACTGGGCAGAGGCTGGAGAAGCAGAGCTTAGGCAATTTGACTCAGAAACTCACTGGGGGCTTCCCTGGTGGCTCAGGGGTAAAGTATCTCCCTGCCATTGCAGGAGACGCGGATCTGATCCCTGGTCCAGGAAGATACCATGTACCATGGAGCAAGTAAGCCCATGCCACACAGCTGCTGAGCCTGTGCTCCAGAGCCCAGACGCCCCAACTGTCGAGGCCACACGCCACAACGACTGGGGCCCTCGAGCCCCAGAGCCCACGCTCTACACAGTGAGAAGCCCACGCACTGCAACCAGTGAGCAGGCCCCACCCACCACAACTGGAGAGCAGGCCCCCTTGCTGCAGCTCGGGAAAAGCCCACACAGCAACAAAGACCCAGAACCACCAAAAAAAATAAATAAGTTAAAAAAAAAAAACTCACTTGGCCTGCTGGAAGAAGGGAAGGGAGGCTGGGGGCCTAGCAATCCAGCCTGAGTAAAACCCCATTACCCTAGCCATCATCGAGTTAGGGGCAGTTTAGGGGTGTCAGGACTGGCAGAAGAGTGACCAGCCCAGCCTTGCCCCGTATCTCTGGAGCCCCCTCAGCTGCAGGAACATTTTGACACCCACACTGAACCACACGCAGTTACCACACAGTAAGAACACGTGACATTTCACAGCGTGAGTGCCTTCTGTCACCCCCGGGCCAGCCCCAGGCAGGGACAGCTCTGTCTCCTCCCGAGATGAGGCATGGGGAAGGCCAGAGTCCCCATCACCACGCCACTGTGCATTTGTAATGATGCCGCCTGCTGGCAGCCCTGGGGAACTCAGGCCCCTGGAGGGCTCGGAGAGGTGGAGCCACGGATGAGGAGCTGCGAGAGACTCGGGTGAGGACTGTTTTCTAGAATGAACATCGAGTCCAATGAGAAGATCGTGCGAGATGTGAACAGGACACTGAGCAAAGGACACAGACCGCCCTGAGGTTCTGGCGAGGGTGGCATGGGGACAGGGGCGAGCAGTGACTCCTCGACAGAGGGACACGGTCCCTCTGTGGACCTCAGACTGCAGGACAGATTCTCTTCAGGAGTGAAGAGGCGGCGGGCTGGGCAACTCTTACAGGTTATGGAAGGAAGCAGAGTGGTCAGCAAGAACAACGCCAGAGATGTTTCGAGCTCGAAGAAATCGCTGCAGAGAAGATGGTGGCAGAGGCTGGGACTGGTTCAGCCTCCTGAGGACGACGGCAGGGACAGCAGCGCCACTCTTCTCCAGGGTGCTCAGGAGCGCCTCCACCTGGGAGAGGAGGGGCATTAGCTGACCGGAGGCTGCGAGGGGAGGAAGCAGGAGGTCTCTCTCAGACCTGAAATGCTGCCCAACTTTCAAAGCAGCCCTAAATCCTCCTGGATCTAAATCCTGCAAGCCTTTTGGGAGCAAGCCTCTCTGAGTTTTCCTGCAGCTTCTACTATCCTGTTTAAACCACCACACAAAGAAGAAAGAGATCTGTGGTTGATTTTTTTTCTTTTTCATATTTATAGGTAAACTCAATTGTCCTCAGGACATTGTCTTAGCCGATGTTTTACTTACTATTTACTGTGCAGAACTGGAGGAGCAAAAAATAATACAAAACAATGCTGAGTGCCATACCAGTAGTCCACTCTAGGCTGTAAGAGGCAGGAGTGATACTGAAGCTGGGCTGGCAGGAAGAGGACCTCAGGGATAAAACAGATCTATAGCTGTACTTTGAGGGAGGGAGGGTCTTGAACAGGAGTGAGGAAAGTGGAAAACAGTTTGGGTAGGGAGTCTGGCACAGCCAGGAATGGGGCAGGGTAATCAGGACAGCCGGGTTCCTGGGTCAGCAGAAGAAAGGAGTCATCCACACCCTGTCCTAAGTGAGCAGTGATAGTTCGCTAGGTACCGAATGATCAGAGAACTATCCATCCCAGGGAATAGTGACAAGAGCTGAGCTCATAGTTTTCCTAGGGAACTGGAACAGGTGGGGAGTTGACCCTTTAGTCAACACCCAACCTAAGGTCCTGTCTCACACGCCCTGGAGGCTGGTGGGGATAAGGCCAGGGCAAGCCCATATTCTGAGCTGCTGAAACAGGAAGTGAGGGGGGAAGAGATGCTCAGATTACCTGGTTTAGTACAGTTTCATTTTTCTGAGACATGGGGTCTGTGTGCATCCAAAGCTCTAGTGAGTTTCTTAAGGCCACCTGGAGGTGAGATGAAGGAGCAACGTTTATAATCAGTCTCCCTTTCCGGCCCATACCAGGGAGAAAGGAGTGGGAGCAGAAGTCAAGGGGAGAGGTGGCGGCACCTTCAGCGAGGACACAGGACCAGCTGAGGGAAAGCTTTGAGGAGTAAAGGAAGGGGGAGGATGCGTGCCACACACCTGTCCCAGCTCCACAAACGCTTCAATATTCTCTAGCTGCACAGGGAACTTGCCATTCTCCATGTCGTAGACCATCCTCGAGCTGCCGATGTAGTCAAAGATTTCCTGAGGGGTGCAGACGGGTGGGAAAGGGAGCAGAGACCCCAAAGCGTGAGGGCAGCCTCAGTGACCTGGGGCCAGGTCCTCAGAGCTCGAGGCACAAAGGCTGCTACTGTCTGCGTTCTCTCAGCTGCTGGCCAGCCAAACCCCATGACTCTGCCCTCCTCCTTCCCCGCCGTGGCGAGGCCTCACATGTACGTGTCACAGGACTTCCTAGGCCCAGACACGGGGAGAGCGACAGTTGTGGAGGCCCTAGGCGGACATCAGCTGTCATGTGCCTGCCTCTTGCTTCTCCCCTCGCCTCCAACTTAGCCACAGTTGCTGGTTCCCCTACTCCGTGGCCAGCCTGTGGTGGCGGTGGGGAGAGGCGGGAGCCTCAGGGCTCCTGGATGAAGGTGGCAGGGCAAGGGGCCACAGAATACAATAAACAGACTGTATCAGTCGGGGAGTGAGGGAGTCGGCAGTTTAGCAATTCTGGGTCAGGGTGCAAACGCATTCTGCGATGAGGGAGCCTGACGGGGAGACACATGTAGACTTTCCAGACGCTGAATAACAACTAGGCCAAGTGCTGAGATCTTCCCCAAACCACAGCCACTCCCACCTTTACCACCTGCTTCTTCCCGCCATCCCACCCCAGCCAAAGAGCCCTCACCCCTTGGAAGAAAACAAACATGACGTTGCGGGGCAAGGTGGTCACATCAGGTGCCTTCTGCAGAGCTTCGGCTGCAGCCAGCTGCGTGACGAAGGAGGCGACGGCGCTTTCGGCCCCTGGGGCCACATTCCAGAAAAAAGAACGACTGTCCAGCTGGGTACCGCAGACAAGGCAGAGGGGGTACACTTTGAAAATGGAAATTTGGGCCAGACCCCAGTCCCCCCTTCCCCTGTTCTGGCCAAGAAAACATTCATATCCTGGGGCAATGGTTAGACGCCCACAGTGCAGATCCTGCTCCATCTGAGGCTCCCCAGTGTAGTGACTTAAGACACCCGATATGCCTGTCCTTGCTGTGCCCGTCCCGCCCACCCTGATCGGGCCAACACTCACTCGGGTGGCAGCCACCACAACCCTGTCGTCCGGCTCCAGCGTCCCAGATACATTTATAGGCTTCAGCATGCTCCACACGTTGTAGTCAGACAGTGGGTCACAGACGATCTCTGAACAGGACACAGCGAGAGAGCAACAGGAGGGAGGGGAGGGCAGCTGTGGAGAGGGCCTCTGACCTGGGCCTCCAGACTCTGCGAGCCATTGCTCTGGCTCCGCTCCTCCACACTGGTTTCTCTGCCGCTGGAGACAAGCCACCTCGATTTGTGTGGAACTGTTCCCGCTTCTTCCACCCGGTGCTCTCTGCTGGGGCCCACCCTGCCCCTGCAGTGGTCTCAGCCATGCTCGCCGGCCTGGCCCCTTCCGTCCCAGGCAGCCAGCGCGCCCGGACGTGTCCCACCTGGGCTGAGGCTCCCGCCCACCCCGGGCAGCCAGCTCCCCCCCGACATGTCCCACCTGGGTTGATGCTGAATGAGCTCTGGATGAAGCTGCGCCGCATGCAGGTGACGGTGCTGATGACGGCGTGCATGTGTGAGAAGAGCTGCATGGCGCACAGCGGGAAGGCCGGCGCCGAGCCGTTCTGACCCAGGTTGTGATCTCGGTAGCACTACAAGGGGAGGAGGACCCCGGTGAGGCCGGAGCTGTAGTGTCCCTCCCACACCCCCCAAAAGGAGGAGGGCCCGGCTCCATCCTTCAGCCGCTCCCACATCTGTCCCTGAGCCACAGGGCTGTATCCGGTTTGGTACAAACACAGGCACTATAAGGTCAGAGAGAAAAAGTCACCAATAGGCGCCAAGGGTCACAGATTCAACGACTTAGCTGGGGCTGATGAAATCACCCTATACCAAACGGCCTGGCTCAATACAGAGCTTCAGTCACTGTTTCTAATGTAATTTGCTGTAAAGAGCACCAAACTGGGAGATGAAAAAGCAAATTCAAGAGAGCCTGGACATCAACTCACCATGAAACTTTGCACAAACCTCTTAACTGCTCTGTGTATCAAAATTAGAGAACATTAGCTTAGAATTAGGGAACACTAGAGCAAAAAAGAACTTCAGAAATTATTAAACTGAATCTCTCAATTCCTAGTCCAATGCTCTTCCTTACCATACAAAGTGTTCTTAATCACGGCTCTACAGCTTATCTCATATTAAACATTCTTTATGCTTATGCTTCCTTTTAATCTAAAAGCCTTTAATGTTATACTTTAAGGGAAAAGAGAAATAGGAGAAGGGAATATGAAAAAAAGGAACCTCTTGGCTCTTCTTGGAGCAACGGCCTTTCAGAGGGTATCCTGGGACAATGAGGCTCCCTCCAAACAGGAGGAGAGCCTAAAAAATAATTCTAAGTAAGAAGTGCTAAGAGCCGGCAGAGTCATTACCTGCTTAACAACATTAGTTTCATTTTCATCTTCAAGAAGAAAAATGGGGAAACTGAAGTCTTCATAAGCCAAGCCGTCGCCCACCTTGTTCCACTGAAAGGCTCTGCAGTGAGCAAACTGTGACCCGTAAGAGTTGGAGTAAACACCTGAAAGGGAGGACAGGGGACAGGATGCTGGGACTCCGAGCACCGAGAAACCAGGTAAGGGAGAGGGCTGGGAAATCACAGGCCAGGACGAAGAGCTCCAGAGGAGGGAGAGGCGCAAAAAGCAGCAAGCACCACCTTCTCATCACCTACGGTGAAACACACACTGGCAGCAGGGAGCCCTGGGCTAGCCAGCTGGGGATCTGAACATGTGGCAGAAAGGGAAAATGGAAGGTAAACAGGATGGGGGAGCAGGAGGCAGAAGAGATGGGTGGTAAAGACAAAGAAGCCAGTTCGGGAGGCAGTTGCTCACAGTATACACAAACACGTACTCCTTCACAACCTCCACCCCCCAGAGAATGGAGCGACGATGAGCTCTGGGTGACAGCGGTCTCCCCTGACCCACTGGGGCTCTTACCAAACCCATCATTGGGGCATTGCACACTGGGAGACAAGCCTGAGGCAGGACTGGGCTTGGCTAAAGACACTGCAAGACCAGCAATTCGGCCGGATCTCCCCTTCAGCTTCTCCATCACATCCCTGAAATGGGGCGACAATGCCATGAACGAAGGCAGGGAGATTATCAGGCATCCTGACATCCTGCCCTCTAGGGTGGAAACAAATGCGGAATTAGGGGAATCACCATTGCTGACTCATTTCTTGTCTTTTCGGTCTTTTAGCTTCTGAATGAGAACTATGACCTAATCTGAGCTCAAGGCTTCATCTCATCTACCCTATCTGTACATCCCTTTCCTTCCTGGGGTCCTTACGCACCTAGAGTTCTACTTACAAGGTCACCGAGATTGCTTCTGATAGCACATCTCTTGTCCTGAGGACCAACCCACCCCCTGACGGGACCAGGGCAGCCAAGGGAAGTTTACACTCACAAGCTGAAAGACTGTTCACTGACTCTCCCCTGCTCTGGATGCATTTCCCCAGCAGGAACACCGAGTTCTTACCTGGTAAAGAGTGTGCCCTCTAGCAGAACCACGTAAGGGGGGTTAGGGCCGTCAGTCAACACCCACTGCAGGTCCTCTTTCTTCTCTACTACGTGGATAACCCCTGTGTCGCCACTAATGGAAGCTGCCAGGACAGAATGAGTCAAATTAAAGCATCTACAGCTAACAATTCTGATCTTGCCTCACTGATTCTGCAGATTATTCACCACCACCACCCCCCCACCCCACTTTCAAAATGTCAGAAGACATTGGGTTAATGCAGCCAACTCTAGAGTGAAACTGAAGGGCAGAACTGCCCTGGTTCCATCTGAAGATTACTAGAAAGGAACGGAGGACAAAAGAGCTCAGGAGTCTTATTACAGGCCTTGCTTGTTAAAATGTCAGAAAGGCTCTGTGATCTTCATTTTCTTGTCCTCTTCCCTCAACATCACTTAGGCTTATATACGAGATTCTGTAGCAGTAGACACCAATGTGTCTTATATGTGTGTTTTCTCCAAGAAATGGCAGGCTCTAGATGTCCAGCCTGGAGTTCCTACACTAAATCTTCCTTTGTGCAGATTTCCGTGCCCTCATAGCCTCCATGGCTCTCCATTCCTTTGCCCTATTTGGGAAAGACTTCACTTGCTTTTGGTCAGCTTTGGGTAAAGTTAAATCAAGAGGTTCAAGGAGTTCCGTAGAACAGAACTTCCCAAATGATGGTCCTCAAAGAGATTAGACGTGCTGATATTATGTCCTCTCATTTCTGGGGACCAAGCATTTCCAAAGACCTTAGGCTGTTCACCCCAGGCCAGGAGCAGACACATGTATTACCCCAGGATGCTTTACGGATAACTTGGAAGTATCTCATACTATAGGGAAAGAGTTAAAGAAAAGAAGGAAAGCAAAGAAAGCTATAGATTACCCCTTTTGAGCACTTTTAAAAGGGCCCAATAGAAACAGAGCATTAGAAACAGAAGATCAAACGGAGGTCTTTTACTCCAAAAGAGTAAAAGATAGACAGATACAAAGTAAGATTTAGAAATAAGTAGGCCGAAAAGGAAACAAGATCCTAATGAGGAAGTGGCCAGAGGCCGGCCCCTCCCCCTTGCCTCTCCACATTGGCTCCAGGCTTTATCTCCACAGGCTACTGCTTTGCTTCCCACAGGGCCGCTCCAAGGACATGCAGCAGAATGACTAAGTCCCAGAGGGGATGTTGTAGAGCTCAACTTCAGGAGGATAGGAGCCTAGCTTTTTGCACTGAAGTGGAGTTCCGCCAAGACCAGCAGTAGTCTGATCCGACTCCACACTGGACCTGGCTCCCTTCTCCTCACAAGCCTGGTTTAAGAACGAGGTCCAACAAAAACTTTACTTCGAACTGTTTGGAACCAGTTAATCCACTCCCAGTACTTGCTGTAACAAGGACATGGATAATTAACACAGGATGTAGCTAGGGGATGGGTGGGTAGAAAAACAGTAATTGCCACCTTGAGCAAGTCTTTCACTTCCCAGTGTCTAAGTTTTCTCCAACCAAACGAGAAGGTTTCAGACCATTACCAAGTACTGCTGAGACGGCATGTCACATCATCAATAAACATCTATTAAAGGTGTTCTGACTTCCAGCTTTGTGCACTTATATTCTAACCATTTTTACAGGAATGAACAGATTCAGAGGGAACCAATTTGATGAAGAAGCCAAGATCTGACTCTAAGTTGCCTGCTTCCCTGTAAAAAACTACATTCTACCAAAGCTACTATCCAACAAAATCTGAAGACAACAAGTTAAGCAGCAAGGAAATGGAGAATTCGGCCTTTTCATCACAACTTTTTTCCCTCATAGTTTTATAACCATAACATGTTGACATGGGACACATTTACAAAACATAAAGACAAATTTAAAAGCTTTATTATTTCCTCTTGCAACTATCTGGCTTTCTCAATGTCTTCTTCTTCAAAGAGTTCACTGCCTTACAGAATTTTGCTTCCAAAAAAGAGCATTCAGCATGCAGGTGATGACTGGACTTCACAGAGTGTGAGGCTTTTTCTCCTAAGAAAGAGTATAGCTTTCTCCCTAACTTACTGGGTGGTTAAGAGTCCTAGATTAGAACTTAGACCACCAAATCCAAGCTTCATCACTGACCAGCAGGACAATCTTGGAAGTTACTCACTTCTCTAAGTCTATTTCATATTGGTAAGATGCGGGGTAACAACAGGGGCAACTTCATGAGGTTGTTGTGATAGTTAAATGAGATGCACATATAAGAAGTTTAGTATGGAGTATTTCCTCAATGTTTGTTCTCATTAATTATTACCTCGCCTGGTGTGACAAATGGTTCTCTATCACCTACTACCCTGATCGCCTAGTTTGTGTTGAGGTTCCCCAGCAAGACTTCAATCATTACACCCAGGGCACAGACTGAAATGTCAACGGCCACGAACACAGTTCCCAATCTCAACTCACACTGGCAGCCAATCTGATGGGTAGCATTAAGCAGACGGACACAGGGAGCTGTTTTATTTAAGGGGATGTAGATCTTCCTCTCCACTGAGTTTCCTTCGCACAAACCTGATCAAAAGATAAAAAATGTAAGAAGAAATTGGAAGACATTGGTACTAGCCTCTGTCATACCACAGCTTTGTTGAATGGTTTGGGGTATATCATACTATCCGAAATGGGACTGATGTCTACCGTTCTCACCCCCTGGGAACATTACTGGAATAAATGCACTCAGCTATGTATCACAGAGGGTAGCTGCAATTCATAAAGTAACTGACATTGAAGCTTAAAGGGAAAACACTTGATTCATCAAAGCAAAGGCATTTAACATTAGATGTACCTGCTTCTGGTTGCATACTCAACCACACTTCCATTTTTCTACTCTGTATATACATCACTAATTAGTTAATATGTGCCAGTTAAGAATTAGATGCCAGTTAAATTAGGTGCCAGTCTAAGAATATAGATTACAACAACAACAAAAGTCTCCCTGAGACATTTTTTCCAGGAATCTGAACAGAACTGGGAGAACTTATGCCACATACGCTGTCAGTTAATCTAATACCAGTAAGTAATTTGTGTGTGCCCACAGTGAGGGGCAGCTAGATTTTCCTTTGTTGTTGTTTAGTTGCTAAGCCCAGTGCCACTCTTCTGTGACCTCCGTGGACTGAAGTCCCCCAGGCTCCTCTGTCCATGGGCTTTCCTAAGCAAGAATACTGGAGTGGGTTGCCGTTTCCTTCCCCAGGGGATCTTTACTGACCGAGGGATCTAATCAGCATCTCCTGCATTAGCAGGTGGACTCATCACCACTGAGCCACCAGGGAAGCCCAGTTTCTCCTTTGGAGATCTTTAAAACAAACAATCTCAATTTGGAGGAAGGTATCATCATGTCTATAAACAGGAATGTTTGCATTTTAGGGCCTCATATACCAGAAAGTAAAGGCGTGTAGGCAAACACCTGTGCACATTATAAATGCCTAAAGTTCCCTGAGTCATTATTTCACGGCATAAACAGTTAAGAGAACTAATAGCTTACCTTAGTCTCACTTTATTAATGGAACAAACCCAGGTGAAGCACAGGGACGCGTGTTTGCGGTGGAATCAACCGAGAAAGAAATAAGGCATCTACCTTCCTTAGCGCCGCAATGCACCCACAGAACCAGGCGCTTTCATCTTAAAAGTCTAAATGCATTGGGAAGAAAGCTGAACTCTTAACACTTGTCCTTTCTGATTTTCAGTGGGGTGGCTGGGCCGTGGGGGAAACGAGGTATCCGGACAAAGTGGGAGAGAGTTGAGCTGTAAGTTCAACAAGAGGCCTGGAAGAGGAAATAGGGAGACTCGACCTGCCGCGGGGGAGAAGGGACCTTCAGGTCCAGGCAAAGGGGGAACTTCTGTCGTAGGAACGAAAAAGAGAGTATTTACAGGGTGGGGGGACGGAGGGGCTGCGGGGACCAGATGGGAGACGGCGGCTCTCGCGGCTGGGCAGATCCGGAGGGTTCTCCTTACAGACTGGAGCTCACGGGCAGGGGAGGCCTCACCTGCCAGTAGAACGCAGAAAGACAGAAGGCGAAGAAGACTCCTACTTCCCGGGTCGGCCACAGAGCCGCCCCCAGCGGTGGCCATCTTGCCTCTCAGCTGAGCGGAAGCCTCAATTCCCACCTTCTCCGGCAGTGGCCCCTCTAGGCCAACCCTGGCTCCGTCTCTATGGCCCGGAGCTCCTGTGGCCGGAAGTTCGTTTCTGTGGAACTTCCGGGAGTCGAGGCGGAGGGACGCTGACGTGGAGACAGTTGTAGGCCGGCAGGGAGTGTCGGGACTCCGGTTAACAGCTCGGAGCCCGAGACCTGAAGGATGCTAACCAAATTTGAGACCAAGAGTGCGCGGGTCAAAGGTAATGGAGATTAGAAAAGGGAGCTCGGAGGCTGGATGTCAGGGGCAGTCCTGTCACTGGGGAAGAAAGGGAGGATTTAACGGGCTGAATTGGGCCCACCGTACGAACCTAGAGGAACCTGAGACAGAGGGAGGCCTTTAGGCCTGACGGGCGATTCACCTGCAGTCCTGTCGCCTTTGGTGTGCCCTTGGGATTTGATTTAACTGTAGTGGTTAACGCTCCGCAGGAGGTTCGTTTGGCTTGCCCCCTGTTTCTTTCTCCTCCCCTCTCCTGGGTCCTGTACTGCGACTTTTATTCTGACCTGTTGGCTTTTTGATGACTGTGTTGTAGGGAGTGGCCCAGGGAATTGAGTCTGGACCTCTGCTATTCGTATCCAAGTCTAGTTTTTTCGGAAATGAGCAGTGGCCACCCCTCTTAAAGGAGGCCTTCAGCTGCACCGTACTAAAATCCGGTGCCTCTTTTGCGAAACAGGACATTGTTAAATCTAAGTTTGCAAAGGTTGCCAGATAAAATAGAGAACACCTAATTGGATTTGGGTGCTGATGCTGGGAAAGATTGAAGGCAGGGGGAGAAGGGGACGACAGAGGATGAGATTGTTGGATGGCATCACCGACACGATGGACATGAGTTTGAGTAAGCTCTGGGAGTTGGTGATGGACAGGGAAGCCTGGTGTGCTTCAGTCCGTGGAGTCGCAAAGAGTTGGACACTAGTGAGCAACTGAACTGAATTGGATTTGAATTTCAGATAAAAAGCAAGTAACGTTTTAGTACTGCTGGTGGTTTATCTGAAATTTAAATTTAATTGGACATCTTTTATTTTTATTTCCTGAATATGACAGCTCTAAAACTTGTGTGTCACTGAATGTAGGTGAATTGCAAACAACTGATAATGCAGTAGTACTCTCTTAGAATGTTAGAATGGCAGAGGCAGAGATTTGGGGAGAAGATTTGTACCTTGACTATTTACTAATATTTAAAAAAGATGCAGTATAGCAAAGTGGTTAGAAACTTACTATTTGGAGTCATATGGGCTTACTCTGGAATTCTGAAACATTGAGTAATGAACTGCAGGACTTAGGGCAACTTAACATTTCTATTTCCTTGCTGGGCTGGAGGAAGCACAAGCTGGAATCAAGATTGCTGGGAGAAATATCAATAACCTCAGATATGCAGAATACACCACCCTTATGGCAGAAAGTGAAGAACTAAAGAGCCTCTTGATGAAAGTGAAAGAGGAGAGTGAAAGAGTTGGCTTAAAGCTCAACATTCAGAAAACCAATACCATGGCATCTGGTCCCATCACTTCATGGCAAATAGATGGGGAAACAGTGGCTGACTTTATTTTTCTGGGCTCCAAAATCACTGCAGATTGTGATTGTAGCCATGAAATTAAAAGACGCTTACTCTTTGGAAGGAAAGTTATGACCAAACTAGACAGCATATTAAAAAGCAGAGTCATTATTTTGCCAACAAAGTTCCGTCTAGTCAAGGCTATGGTTTTTCCAGTGGTCATGTATGGATGTGAGATTTAGACTATAAGGAAAGCTGAACACCAAAGAATTGATGCTTTTGAACTGTGGTGTTGGAGAAGACTCTTTGAGAGTCCCTTGGACTGCAAGGAGATCCAACCAGTCCATCCTAAAGGAGATCAGTCCTGGGTGTTCTTTGTTAGGACTGATTTTGAAGGTGAAACTCCAGTACTTTGGCCACCTGATGCGAAGAGCTGACTCATTTGAAAAGACCCTGATGCTGGGAAAGACTGAGGGCAGGAGGAGAAGGAAGTGACAGAGGATGAGATGGTTGGATGGCATCATCAACTCGATGGATATGGGTTTGGGTGAACTCCAGGAGTTGGTGATGGACAGGGAGGCCTGGCTTGCTGCAGTTCATGAGGTCGCAAAGAGTCGGACACGACTGAGCGAATTAACTGAACTGAATACGTGAATAATTAACATTCTTTTTTAGAGAGAATTAAAATTAGAAAGTGTATAAAAGATGACTGGCATAGATTCAATAGCTCAAAAACTGGCGGCCATTATTAATGTGAGAATAGATTTTGAGAAGTTTCTATGTCTCTTGGGAATCTTGATCATAAAGAAGAGTGCCATTAAGAATTCCTGGATGGCTGAAATGTGTCTTTATAATCCTGGAGCTTTCTTTTCTGCTCCTAATTTCCTTATCAGGCATAGGGAAGAAAATTGGCCAGGGAGGGGATATCAAAATATTTGAGAGTTAATATCTATTAATGAATGTTCCTGTATATAATGGGAATGAGGGTGGGGAATGAGCAACCTAATGGAAAATGGATAGCTTAGAAGAAGAAATAAAAATGTTAAATAAATAAATCAAAATACTCTTTACCTCACTAGTAATGAAAGAAGTGGTGTTAGAGTACTAAAACAAACAAAACAACAAATAACTGATACCATCCTATTCTCAGTACCTTCAGAAACTTGGTGAGACTGTATATTGATACAGTCTTTTTGCAATCAAATAGTATCTTCCAAAATGTTAAATGCACATACCTGTCCCCGAACAAATCTCATTTCCAGTCATTAGTGTAAATCAGTAATAATACAAACAGACTGGATTATGTGTGGAAGCGTCTTCATTGGATCATGTTTTCTGGTAGATAAAAGGGGGAAAAACTTAAATGCCCGTTAGTAGAATAGTTTAAAAAGTGGTGTATTTGTACGTTGCAGTCATTAAAAAGAAAGGCTAAGTCTAGATGTACTTAAAGTGTTATGAGATACATTATATGTAGTTAAGTGAGAAAACAAGTTTGTAGAATATTATAATGTTATCTCCATTTTCATAAAACAATATGGATTGCATTAAAAACTTGAAAGTATACTCTCCAAACTACTGTGGACTCCCATTCCCAGTCATAATGGAATAACAGAGACCAGGTTTATCTTCCCACCTTAAATACCTGCACAACTGAACAAAACGTGTGAAACAAAGGTTTTCAGACATTGGAAAACATGCAGTGGGTATTGCTTTAATAGTGATGCCAGATTAGACCTAGGCTAAAGGCTGCTGTGGACCCATCCAAAACTTAAAAAGCAAGCCTCTAATGGATCAACTAATTCCAAGTAACTGCATCCTAAACCAGAGCCCAGCAGTATTTAAGGAAATATAATAAAAAATCCAACACATGATACCGTAAAAGTCACGATGTGTGGCATCCAGTGAATAAATATATGAACCCAGTTTTTACCTAGCTGTTCCATTTTCTTACCACAGTTGGCAGGAGGTAACATTGTGGGGCTTACTTTGCTCATTGGATCATTGTCTTTTTTTTTTTTTTTAATCCAGGACTCAGCTTTCACCCCAAAAGACCCTGGATCCTGACCAGTTTACACAATGGCGTCATCCAGTTATGGGACTATCGGATGTGTACCCTCATTGACAAGTTTGATGAACATGATGGTAAGATAACAGTTTCTAGGAAGAAGCTAAAAGAAATATAAGTATTGTCTTCTGGAGTAGTTTAAGCTTTCTTTAGGATTAAAGAACATGGGAGGGATAGAACTGGAAAATTCTGAAAAAGAATCACCTTGGAGTCTCAGAGCATAACTGTCTTTTTAACATGTATTGCCTGCTTTCTTCCCTAGGTCCAGTACGAGGCATTGACTTCCATAAGCAGCAGCCACTATTTGTCTCTGGAGGAGACGACTATAAGATTAAGGTATAATGGGTCCGTCATGACTGGGAGTAAAGGACAGGCAGTGTGAAGTTTGGGAATCACAGAAGGGACGAAAAACCCAGATGTCTCATTTGTATAGAGCTCAGGCTTTTGACATTATCCAGAGCACTTATCCAGTGAACATTTATTGAATGTTTACTGTGTTGCAGATGCTGTTTTTTATTTTTAGAATTCAAAAGTAAATAAGAAATGGTCTCTGTTCTCAAGGAGCTTTTATTCTAATGGAGGAGTTAAATATATACCCTAATAATAGCATGTACAGATTAGTGAATGTACCATAGATAAACAAAGTGAAATGGGTAAGGACAATCTAGGTATAAGAACAAAAAGCATGACATAGCTGGATACATTTGAGAAACTATAATTAGTTTTGGATAAAATCTGGAAGAAAGGGTGAGAGGAGCAGAAGATGAGAAGGGCCGGATAATGGAGTACCTCTCTGTAGTACTCAGAAGTTTGGATGTTATACAAATAACAAGGAACCATTAATGGAGTTTAAATAGAGGAGTGATATTAGATTGACGTTTATTTATTTACTTGTTTGGCTGTGCTGGGTCTTCGTTGCTGTGCAAGCGTTTTTCTCGCTGTGTGAGTCGGGGCTGCCCTCTAGTTGCCATGTGCAGGCTTCTCATTGTGGTTCCTTCTCTGATCATGGAGCACAGGCCCCAGAGTGCACTGGCCCAGGAGCTGCGCGTGAGCACAGGCTTAGTTCCTGCATGGCATGTGGGCTCTTCCCAGACCAGGAATCAAACCCATGTCTCCTGTATTGGCAGGCCGTTTCTTCACCACTGAGTCACCAGGGAAGCCCCCAGATTCACTTTTTTTTTTTTTAAAAGGTTACTTAAATGGCAATACAGAGAAAAGATTGGATGACTTGGGCAAGACTGGTGGCAGATTCTAGTTAGGAGACCATTACAAAAGTCCACGTGGGTAATGAACAGAGCGTGAGCTTCGGCAGTAACATTAAAAATGGAGGAGATGACGTATCCGCACCAGAAAAATTTACTTCATGAAAAAAATAATCTT